TGGGATCAGGCAATTCTCCTGCCTCAGCCTCCTGAGCAGCTGGGATTACAGGCACGTGCCACCATGCCCAGCTAATTTTTTGTAGCTTTAGCAGAGACGGGGTTTCACAGTGTTGACCAGGATGGTCTCGATCTCTTGACCTCGTGATCCACCCGCCTCGGCCTCCCAAAGTGCTGGGATTACAGGCGTGAGCCACCGCGCCTGGCCTGTTGCTGTTATTTCTGTGTGGAATACCTAGTCCTGATTTTCAAATGGTTGAGTCCTTGTTTTTTATGGCTTAGCAGATACCACCTTCTCAATTGGTCTTCCCTAACCATTCAGTCTTATGTAGCTATCCAGTCACATTTGTCGCATCACTCTGTGTTAATTCTCTGCGTAGGGTATGTCACTGTTTCTTATGTGTGTAGTAGTTTGTTTTGTTTCTTTTCCTACTAGAATTAACCTGCCTGAGAAAAGACCTTTATCTTACCACTGTCATTTATTGAATGAAACACTGATGTAAGTTTTTTGAAAGTTTGTCCAGAGTAGTAACAGGGAGTGGCCTTAATCTCCCCATTACTCATATTGTTGTCATTTAACATTGAATAAATTACTAAATCTTAAGCTTTTTTTTTTTTTAGTGTAAAACCCATCCTATTGATATCTCAGTGATTTGGCATACGTTGTATCTTAGTTTGTCACAAGGGAGAATGTTAACCCTAAACGATTATGTCAAAAGATTAAACAGACTTCAGGTTGACTCTTGTCCTTGTTGCTTTTCTTTATTTGTTCTTTTATTGTGCAGGTGACCATCCAAGGCAAGATAGCATGGATTTCAGTAATGAGTGGGGGGATCCCTCAAGCTGTCGATGTGGAGACAGACTGAAGCCGTTAGAGCGGAGAGCTGCACGCCAGCACCAGCGATGTCTAGCACATTCTTTGGTTGGGACTCCCAATTATATTGCACCTGAAGTGTTGCTACGAACAGGTAAAGCACTTGGTTTCATATGTAATCTCAGCAGGTCTTTAGACCAGCCAAGATATAACACTAATATGCCTTATTTTTCAGGCTTATAATAAAAATATTAATTTTACAGTATAAATTGGTGATTTAATGTTAATTTTGATTGTATTCTGAGCATTTATAAAGTGCTTATAAATAACTAACTTTGATATCTTATTTTAGGATACACACAGTTATGTGATTGGTGGAGTGTTGGTGTTATTCTTTTTGAAATGTTGGTGGGACAACCTCCTTTCTTGGCACAAACACCATTAGAAACACAAATGAAGGTAAGGTATGGCATCTATTTCAAAATAATTGTCACAGAGTTCCTATATCATTGACCTTTATTTATTAGTACTTACAGTATTTCAATCTGGAGTTAAAGAATGAACTTGGGCTGGGTGCAGTGGCTCACACCTGTAATGCCAGTGCTTTGGGAGGCTGAGGCAGGAGGATTCCTTGAGCCCAGGAGTTCAAGATCAGCCTGGGCAACAATGTGAGACCCCACCTCTCCAAAAAAAGTTTTTATTAAAAAAAAAGAAGAATGAACTTGTAAGAGTATACGAACTCACCAAAATTGCATGTGAACTCCTGTCTCCATCATGCCACATCACCATAATCTTGTACTCCCCCTCACTCATACACCGTACTCATTTCATTCTCAAAAAGGTCCATTTTGAAGATTCATTCCAGTTACTCTTCGTCACCTACTGCCTTCTGGCTTTGTCTCCTTCTGTGCAAACCACAAACAAATGTTTATATCCGCACTTGAAAATACGTCTCACACTTAAATGAGAATGTACTCACAATTTTGTTCATACACTGTCTGATTTAAAACCCTTTAGTGATTCCTTTGTCCATGGGTTAAAGTACAAATTTGCCCTCTGTTCATACCATCCCCTCTGTCTGCAATGTCCTACTTCCATTTCTCTCTTCTTCTGTAATCCTTCCTCCTTTCTGAAGTCAAACTCCTGATTATTCTGTTGTTTTTTTTTGAGATGGAGCCTCATTTTTGTTGCCCAGGCTGGAGTGTAGTGGCATAATCTCGGCGCACTGCAACCTCCGACTCCTGGGTTCAAACGATTCTCATGCCTCAGCCTCCAGAGTAGCTGGGATTACAGTCACGCGCCACCACACCTAGCTAATTTTTCTATCTTTAGTAGAGATGGGATTTCACCACATTGGCCAGGGTGGTCTCTAGCTCCTGACCTCCTGATCCACCTGCTTTGGTCTCCCAAAGTGCTGGTTGCAGGTGTGAGCCACTGTGCCCAGCCAAGAAAACCAGAAACTAAAATTTAAAAACACTACCATTCACAGTAGCTCCTCTGAAATAAAAAACTTTGATGTAAATCTGACAACATGAGCAAGATCTGTATGCAAATTGCTACTGAAAGAAATAGGCTGGGTGCGGTGGCTCACGCCTATAATCCCAGCACTTTGGGAAGCCAAGGCAGGCAGATCACCTGAGGTCAGGAGTTTGAGACCAGCCTGGCCAACATGGTGAAACCCTGTCTCTACTAAAAATATAAAAATTAGCCAGGCATGGTGGCGGGCACCTATAAACCCCAGCTACTCAGGAGACTGAGGGAGGATAATACTTGAACC